GGAGTAGTTATTTAATGTGTCACTACCCCTAAAGGATTATTAATGAAATGTTTTCAAAAAACTAATGACTCATGTTTGTATTTATCACAAGAAGATCATATATTGACGTATCATTTGTTTGTGTGAAGTTTTACTTGCTTTGTGTTATATGTGACATTTATTAAGGCTGATAATGAAAATTTATTAGTCTATATTAACAAAACATCTTCTGTTTTTTTCGGTTTGAATACGCACACATCTCTGTATGTGAAAACTTCCTTTGATTAATGTCCATTTATGGCAGTGTAATACTCTTGTAATGCTGAAAATCTTTTAAAATATACACAATATTATGACAAATGAAAATACAAAAATAAATGATGAACAAGACAAAATATTGTATTAATAATCATATGTACAGTTAATAACTATTTTAATTGACAATCCCAGACAAAATGGATTTTAATTTTGCTTCAAGTCATTTTGTTATCTTCTTAAAACTTTTGAAGAACACTTTCTGGAGTTCCATAAATATATATTGTGTCATAGAGCATCTGATTGGCCATTTGATGAGATATCACCTTAAAAAAACCAATGACAAAGGTGAAATATAAATTGTATAATTTGTACAGGCACGATAACAATACAGGCTGATTGATATGCGATAAGAAAATTTGTAAAAGTTATTAATGCCCTTTAGGTTCCTTTTATATTGGTTTCAGCTTGAGGTCCCAGGTCTCAGTCTTTATAATAAGAACACTAGGCAAGCCCTTTGAACAAATAGTTCTCCATAAGGCATATATATTATTTCTAAAATGTTTCGAATAATATTCAGGATGAAACTACTTATTGAACCCATCCTGTTTTTTTCTTAGATAAAATCTTCAAAAATATATAATATACTCGAATGTACTCGAATGTATCACAAATTTACTCATCATTCAACAAACCATTCTATGTGAAGTCCTCATCAAAGTTAATATTTGATAAATGAAATATTGTAAATAATTATATTAAACACTTTCAAAAATATTGTAGTTGAAAAAGATATTGGATGTAAAAATATAGTCATTAAACACTATGAACGCATGAACAGAATTATTTTCATATACAATGTAAATAAAAACAACTGAACTAAATCAATTGTTTTCATTTCATATCTAAGTCAATCATTGATCATTGCAACATTCCATTACATCATTCATTAAGCATTAAAACATGACATCACATGACATCATTCATTAAGCATAAAAACATCACATCACATGACATCTTTCATTGATCATTAAACCATCACATTACATCATTCAGTGATCATTAAAACATCCCATGACATCATTCATTGATCATTGCAACATCCCATTACATCATTCATTAAGCATTAAAACATCACATGACATCATTCATTGATCATTAAACCATCACACTGCATCATTCACTGATCATTAAAACATCACATTACATCATTCATTGATCATTAAAACATCACATTACATCATTCATTAAGCATTAAAACATTACATTACATCATTCATTAATCATTAAAACATCACATTACATCATTCACTGATCATTAAAACATTACATTACATCATTCATTAATCATTAAAACATCACATTACATCATTCATTAAGCATTAAAACATCACATCACATGACATTATTCATTAAGCATTAAAACATCACATCACATGACATCATTTATTAAGCATTAAAACATCACGTGACATCATTCATTGATCATTGCAACATCCCATTACATCATTCATTAATCATTAAACCATCACATTGCATTACATCGTTCATTAAGCATTAAAACATCACATTACATCATTCATTCATCATTAAAACATTACATTACATCATTCATTAAGTATTAAAACATCACATTACATCATTCATTAATCATTAAAACATTACATTACATCATTCATTAAGTATTAAAACATCACATTACATCATTCACTGATCATTAAAACATCACATTACATCATTCATTAATCATTAAAACATTACATTACATCATTCATTAAGCATTAAAACATCACATTACATTATTCATTAATCATTAAAACATCACATTGCATTACATCGTTCATTAACCATTAAAACATTACATTACATCGCTCATTAATCATTAAAACATCACATTGCATTACATTGTTCATTAATCATTAAAACATTACATTACATCGCTCATTAATCATTAAAACATCACATTACATCATTCATTAAGCATTAAAACATCACATATACCTTTCATTGATTGAAACAACATAGAAGTAAATATAAATTTCTCAATAACACCACAATATATCATTCATTCAATACAACTACATTTTGAGCATTGAAACTTTTCTACAACCCACAAAGGCTAAGAGAAAATTAAGGTTAAAAAAAAAAATCTTTGGCTAAATCAAGAACAATTACTCAAAAGAACGGTAATCTCATGATCTCATCAATCAGTGGTTTCCAACCTTTTTCAGCCTTCACACCCCAATCATTAGAACCCCTCACACCCCCAAAACAATGGACATTCAAAACATTGTAAATGTTATCATTTTTATTCTTTTCATCATAATAATCACACATAATATATCATCATGCGGCCGCAATAAGATGCTCAGTGGGAAGGCTGTAGCTGTTTTCTTTGGAACCATATAATATCCCCCAAAAAATTTCTCCTACAACAGTTGTCCACACCCCGACACCCCAGGGGCTGAAAACACCCCAGGTTGGGAACCAGGGATATAGATAAACATACTAATTAAACATTTGTCTATTATTATTTCAGGTTCACAAATCAATTTTGACGTATCTATGCTGAATCAATGACAATAACTCAAAAGATAGCTTGCCAGGCAAGGTAATATATGCCCACTGGCAGCTTTGATTTTTGAATAAAAATATTTAGCAGTACAGTAACAATCACTAGTATGAAATATCCAACCTTCTGTCATACACTTCTTTTGAACTCTTTAGGGAGATACTGAATAATATTGAGTATGAGTTATTGCACTTGTTCTTGAAAACGTGTTCAATTTTTAGCTCATGAAAACTCTAAAAGGTAAATATTCAATCTTCAGCACAGGACTGAATAATAAAATCAAGTTTTGTCAAAATCCAGCAAGAATTATGCTTTTTAGTGTTTAAAAGCTTTAAATTGAACGCGTTTTCAAGAGCAAGGGCAATAACTCAATATTTTTCAATTTTTCTGATTTTCAATAGGGTTTATCCTTGGGTGATAACAAACACTCATGCCAAGTTTCATCAAAATCTGTCAAAGATTGTCCCTTCTAGAGTGTTTACAAGCCAAAAATTGAACGTGTTTTCAAGAACAAGGGCAATAACTCATACTAAATATTTTTCGATTCTTCTCATTTTCGATAGGGTTCATCTTTTCATGATTACGAACACTCACACCAAGTTTTGTCAAAATCCGTCAAGAATTGTGCCTTCTGAAGTGTTTACAAGCTAAAAATTGAACGTGTTTTCAAAAGCAAGGGCAATAACTCATACTTAATATTTTTTTTCGATTTTTTGATTTTTATGATTTTCAATAGGGTTCATCCTTGGGTGATTACGAACACTAATACCAAAATTTGTCAAAATCCGTCAAGAATTGTGTCTTGTAGAGTGTTTACGAGCAATTGTGGACGGACGGACATGGGTGACAGCAATATATGCCCCCCATTTCATGTGGGCGTATAAAAATTGAAATCATTAAAGGAATTGAAAAGAGGTTTTCTAATTTTTGTTTCCGGGACACTGATAGCATCAATTTGAACTTTTCCAATTATCAATCAGATGACAGTGGTTCCTGCAATTCCACTAAAATTAAGTGTTTGTTGACATGACTAATTGAAAAATATGCTTTATCACATAAAGCCCTCATGATATATTAAAGCTATCAGAGTTCCCAATACACATAAATTTAGAAAACCTCTTTACAATCCCTTTAATTCTACTGTTGGCATATAAAAGTTGTAATAGTCCTTATTCAACCACCTAGTTTCTTTATTTTCCTCAAAGTTGAGCCTTCTAGAATTTTTTATCATAAATTTTTTGAAAAATGTAAAAAATAATGCCTTCCATGACTAGTTATGAGCTAAAAATGGAACAAAATTTGATGCTATACAAACTATACAATATATTGGTTTTTCATATGGTATTTTAAAATTTAATTTTAACTTTGTGCTGAAAACCATGCTTACCTTCTTAAAAAAATAACAACAGACTAAATCTTCAATTATCATTATTTCATTGCTACTGACTCCTGTACAAATACATATTTACAATGTGGAGATTCATATTCATATTAAACAACATACAGAGATCCTAATCCAATGACTGAATGTCAATCAAAATTGAAATATAACTTTTCACGATTTATACTGATCTATATACAATTAAATATAAATATAGGTAAGGTTGTTTTCACAAAGTTAGAATTAAATACTGTACTACTGTAACAATATTATGATTAATTTCATTATCAACACCACTACAGCATACAGTCAATGCAAAAAATTTAGTTAGTTGGTTGGTTAGTCAAAATTCCAGTATTGTACATTTGGAAGACCAAAAATTAGCCACGATTAAACTATGAATATCACCATGAATTCTGTACATACTACAGATACATTACTCATATAAACAATACCTTGACATATCTTCCGTAAATATTGTCTTCAATAAACTAAATGTAATCTAAATGAATTCACATGTTCTGTTTTTGAGGTCCTATATCATGGTCAAAAGAAATTCCAAAAGACTTTTCTTTAATCATGGGTTTGTTAACTAGAAAGAAGACCTCTGTTGTAAAACTTCATAACAGCCCCAGCCATTGAGTTCATTTCAAGACTGTAGACTTGGTTTTAGCAATAAGCTATAAGCTTACCAGTCTAATTAAATTAGACCCAACTTTCGTCTGACAAATGTTCAAGACTGCAGTCGTTAGACCCTACTGTGAAGTGGCTATACTAAAAATGAATTAATAAAAAAAAAATGAAATGAAAGTTAAGTTTAATTTTTATTAAACTGTAAGCTTACAAATATGGTTTCATGGTAACTTTAGCACTTTTCAGAGTCAAGAAACATTAAGAGTTGATATTACATTGAGTACTGTCCTATCAGATTTAAGTCATCTTCACTATTAAAATTAAGACAGAAGTCTATATCATCAGTCAACATTTCTTCAGTTATCTCTATAAACAGTTTATCATGAAACTCAGCTTTAGCTGGCTTTATCTTTTTGGCTTTTGATACACATGGTTTGTCTGAACCATCAGATTCCTTCACAGAGCTGAATGAGTCACTTGGGTGTTCACTAGGAGTACTGTCACTAGTGTTTTTGTCACTATTGTCAGATGTGACACTAGAATCTTGTTTAAAGTCTACATCACTAGTATTAGAACAAGTTTCATTAGTATCTAACGTGGCAATATTTTTTGATTCCTCCATTGATGCAGTACCAAATTCCTTTAACACTGAAGATTCCATATGAGCTTGTAATTGTTGTCCCAATTTCATCATTTCTTCTTTTGTACTGTTTTCCTTTTTACAAGAAACAGTCTGAAACATATTAATCACTTCATATTATACTAAGTCTTACCATCTAAAAGTTGCATTCTGTGTTCCATTGACTTATTACCAAGTTTAAACAATTTCTAGAAGTCTTATTTATATGCTGCTGACTTGTTAGCCTGGTCAATATTGTATCCATTATAATCAACAGAATAGCTTACATATAAAATTTCTTATACTTACATCTAAATCATGAACCAAACAATCTAGTTGTTCTTTACATAACAAAGCAGATGGGTTATTATTCAAAAATTCTTTATCTTTTTTTAACACTTGTTTTCTTGATTGGATTGGCATCTCATATCTCATCAAATCATATTTGGAGATTTTTGGACTGGCATTTACTTGACTTGTAGATTGAAAACCAGATGCTGAATTCCTTGCAGATTTCTTTAAATATTTACTATATTTCTGTGGAGAGACAAAATTTTGCAAATGATAGCTTGCCAGGCAAGGTAACATACACCTATGGAAGCAGTAAAGAAATAAAAAGGTTTTGTTTGATAAAGATAAAAAACAAGTTTTGTCAAAATCCACCAACAAACATGCCTTTTAGTGTTTAAGAGCTAAATTTGAAAGCGTTTTCAAGAACAAGGGCAGTAACTCATACTAAATATTTATCAATTCTTTATTAATTTTCAATAGGGTTCATCCTTGGGTGATTACGAACATTCACAACAAGTTGCATCAAAATCCGTCAAGAATTGTGCCTTCTAGAGTGATTACAAGCTAAAAATTGAACTCGTTTTCAAGAGCAAGGGCAATAACTCATACTAAATATTTTTCGATTCTTCTGATTTTCAATGGGGTTTAACCTTGGTTGATAGCAAACACTCATGCCAAGTTTCGTCAAAATCCATCAAGAATTGTGCCTTCTGGAGTGTTCATGAGCTAAAAATTGAACGCGTTTTCAAGAACAAGGGCAATAACTCATACTAAATATTTTTCGATTCTTCTGATTTTCAATAGGGTTCATCCTTAGGTGATTACAAACAATCATGCCAAGTTTCGTTAAAATCCATCAAAAATTGTCCCTTCTAGAGTGTTTACGAGCTAAAAATTGAACGCGTTTTCAAGAACAAGGGCAATAACGCATACCAAATATTTTTCGATTCTTCTGATTTTCAAATCCTTGGATGATTACGAACACTCATGCCAAGTTTTGTCAAAATCCGTCAAGAATTGTGTCTTGTGGAGTGTTTATGAGCAATTGTGGACGGACGGACGGACAGATGGACAGACATGGGTGACGGCAATATACGCCCCCCATTTCATGTGGGCGTAAAACAAAAAGCATAGGCTAAACTCAGTCTTTTTTGTGTACTGTTACTTAAACCTTGTCTAAGATATTATCTCCTTCTACATAAGAATAACAGGTTTCATTCAAACAGGACAAACACTATTTCCTTTTCTATTTTGTGGACAAGATGTTTTTGAATAAAAACTCTACAACACACTGTCAATTCCAAACTTATCTGAGATCTCACCAACCCACATAAGTATATCCTGTTTAATCCAGGAGCTGCTACCATGCTTATAAGAAATATTGATTGACCTACAGTGGTACAAGGTTGATGGTAATATATGCCATACTGTCATGTGTGTGTAAAAACGATAGCTTACCAGGCAAGGTGATATACGCCTACAGGTAGTTTTCATTTTGAATAAAATATTTGGCAGTAAAATAACAATCACTAGTATGAAATATTCAACATTCAGTCACACATTTCCTTTGAAATTTTTGGGGTGAAACTGAACAGTATTACAAAATTTTGTCAAAATACTCACACCAAGTTTTGTCAAAATCGAACATTTTGTAATTTTCAAAACAAAACAAAGGCTAATAAAGGATGGAATTTGATGTCAAGTTTTATTATTTATTACACCAAGTTCAGTATACATCAAATCAATCCCTATACTACTAGTAGTATTGATGATCCTATCATAAAGTCTTCAGTGATTGGTCATTGTTGCCTGCTGTTTCTTTTTGCTATCACCCCATTTCATGTGGGCATATTATAAGTAATATAGTGAATACTCAGAAGTAGATTTATTCAAAACCTTTAGAAGAAGATTTATGCAAAACAGGTTTTTTTTAAATTTTCGATAAACTTCAATTGTTGAGGATCTATATTGTAATTTTTACTTACACTATATCTATGTTTCTCTCGTTTATTTGGTTTACTATCCATTAGAGACGGGACTGTTGAACTAGTATCTTCTGTTGGAGTAGACTCCACTGATTCAGTACTACCTTCTTCCTGCAATCAGAACATAATCAATACTCATATGTTGAACACAGCAAACAGTATAGAACTGAATAAAATGACATGGCAGCTAATTAATACAAATAACAATCCATCAAAAATTATAATCTGTAGAGTGAGCAGTTGTAACTGTCCAGTTGTAACTTTTTCATTTAGTCCCATGCTGAAAATCGGTATTCATTCATATCAATGTACATACCAAACAAACATGAATCTAATACAACAGAACCTGAAATGGCCATAAGTCTAATGTCTTTTCAAAAATTGTCTGAACAACCCACATACCAAAATTAACAGTATGGGTCAAAAATAGAGTGAGGATATGATGAAAATGAACAGTGTGATGACCAACCAAACTTCATGTATCATCTGCAAATCTTACCTCTTTAACTAACTTTCCAGCAATAATAGGACCAGGCCAAGTAACAGTATGGTCATCTGTTGGTGGCATTGAATTATAAAAACCTCCCATAACTGATGGTGAAAATAAATAACCTGTAATACACAATCAAACACTTTCACTACTTTATCTTCAACAAGGCACTTATCAATTTATACAAAATTTTCAGGCCAGTTAACCCATTTCAACACATCGGGACCGTTGATTTGGGTTTATCTAAATAATCCAAAAAAAAAGTAGATCTACATCTTTTAAAATATTACTTCCCTTGAAGTTGAAGAGATAAAGTAGTGAAAGTGTATTGATTTATTTTGTGATCTGTCGAGAATTGTGCCTTATGTAGTGTTTACAAACTAAATTTGAATGTTTTTCAATTATTCTTATTTTCAATAGAGTTTATCATTGATTGAAAATTGACAATTTCATTGAGATCCATCCAAATCTATCAAGAATTATGCTTTCTAGATTGTGTGCAAGAAAACAAATTAAACAGGTTTCTATGAACAATGGCAAAATCTCGTGTGGAATGAGAATTTTGTTGCAATACTTTTTTGCATTTAGTGCAGAATATTGACTGCTAAGACTGGGCGAGCATATAAAAATCAAGCATTTTTTATAATAATTGATTTCTTTAAAATGAAATAGATACTAGAGCCACCTGGGCAGATTGGGACTTTGCTAATGTGGCAAATGCTAGAAAAATCTGGAAAAAATCAACCTCCTAGGTTAATTAGGTCACGTGCCAGAACAGTTCAAAGTTACGACTTTTTCTGTCTTTTCTGGAAGTTGACGTCAGATAGCCAAAGTCAATGACCTTTGACCTTGTAAAGGAGAAGGTCAACATGGTTTAGGATTACAAGATACAACTCAAAATGCATATGGCTACAAAACCAGAAGCTTGCGTCAGACATCAAATTAATATGAAAGTATGAAATGACCTTTGATCCTACATAAGTTAAGGTCAGCAATGGTCAATGTCAAAAATTGAAAATACTGAAAGTTGTTTCGATGTCAATATTGATTTCTTTGCAAAACGACAAAATGTATAATGTTGATTTGTGAAAGTACATTAGTAGAACTGTAATTTGACGGATAGCTTGCCAGGCAAGGTAATATACACCCACTGGCAGCTTTGATTTTGATTAAAAAAAAATATTTAGCAGTACAGTAACAATCACCGGTATGAAATAGTCAACCTTCAGTCATACACTTCTTTTGAACTCTTTAGGGTCATACTGAATAATATTGAGTATGAGTTATTGCCCTTGTTCTTGAAAACGTGTTAAATTTTTAGCTCGTGAAAACTCTAGAAGGCAAATATTCAATCTTCAGCCCAGGACTGAATAATAAAACCAAGTTTTGTCAAAATCCAGCAAGAATCATGCCTTTTAGTTTTTAAGAGCTAAATTTGAAAGCGTTTTCAAGAACAAAGGCAATAACTCATACTAAATATTTTTCAATTCTTCTGATTTTCAATAGGGTTCATCCTTCGGTGATTATGAACATTAACACCAAGTTTCATCAAATCCGTCAAGAATTGTGCTTTCTAAAGTGATAACGAGTTAAAAATTGAACGCGTTTTCAAGAGCAAAAATACTAAATATTTTTCGATATTTCTGATTTTCGATAGGGTTTATCCTTGGGCGATAACGAACACTCATACCAAGTTTCGTCAAAATCTGTCATGAATTGCACCTTCTAGAGTGTTTACAAGCGTTACAAGAACAAGGGCAATAACTCATAGTAAATATTTTTTGATTCATCTGAATTTCAATAGGGTTCATCCTTGGATGATTACAAACAACCATACCAAGTTTCGTCGAAATCAGTCAGGAATTGTGCCTTGTAGACTGTTTACGAGCAATTGTGGACGGACAGACGTATGGATCGACCGACGGAAAGAGGTGACGGCAATATAAACCCCCCATTTCATGTGGGTGTATAAAAAGGCCAATATTCAATCTTCAGCGCGGGACTGAATAATAAAACCAAGTTTTGTTAAAAAACAGCAAGAATCATGCCTTTTAGTGTTTAAGAGCTAAATTTGAAAGCGTTTTCAAGAACAAGGGCAGTAACTCATACTAAATACTTTTCAATTCTTATGATTTTCAATAGGGTTCATCCTTGGATGAACATTCACACCAAGTTTCATCAAAATCCGTCAAGAATTGTGGCTTCTAGAGTGTTTACGAGCTATAAATTAAACGCGTTTTGAAGAACAAGGGCAATAACTCATATTTAATATTTTTGGATTCTTCTGATTTTCAATAGGGTTCATCCTTGGGTGATTACGAACACTCATGCCAAGTTTCGTTAAAATCCTTCAAGAATTGTGCCTTTTACAGTGTTTACGAGCTAAAAATTGAAAGCGTTTTCAAGAACATGGGCAATAACTTATACTAAATATTTTTCGATTCTTCTGATTTTCAATAGGTTTCATCCTTTGATGATTACGAACACTCATACCAAGTTTTGTCAAAATCCGTCAAGAATTGTGTCTTGTAGATTGTTTACAAGCAATTGTGGATGGATCGACGGGCGTATAAAAATCACCAATGTACATTTGAACTTTTTCAACTTGACAAATGTTTTTTCTTTAAGTCACAATTCTACAAATGTACTTTCACAAATCAACATTATACATTTTGTCATTTTGCAAAGAAATCAATATTGACATCGAAACAACTCCATAAGTGACAACTTGGATTCAAGTGGATCCTTTCTATCATCTATTCATTGATCTGTCCAAAGTAAAATTTCTCAGGATCATACATTAAGAGAACATCTGGCATTTTGGCTAGTTGTTGTGGTGGCCTATATGGCCAAATGTCAACATCCAATTAACCTGTTTGACTGACAAACATGGGTGACAACAATATACACTGTGTATAAAAATAAATTGTCCTATGACTTTGGCTTCTAAATAAGTTAGCTTACCAGGCATGATAAAATATGCCCACTGGCAGCTTTATTTGAAAATGAACATTGAAGAACAATATTTTTTATTTTCAACAGGGTTCATCCTTGGTTGATAATACACAATTTCACAAAGTTTCATCACAATCCATCAAGAATTGTGCCCTGCAGAGTGTTTACGAGCTAAAAATTGAACGCATTTTGAAGAACAATGGCAATAACTCATATTAAATATTTTTCGATATTTTTTATTTTCAATTGGGTTCATCCTTGGGTGATAATAGACAACTTCACAAAGATTGGTCAAAATCCAGCAAGAAATGTGACATGTAGAGTGTTTACAAGCTAAAAATTGAATGCGTTTTGAAGAACAAGGGCAATAACTCATATTAAATATTTTTTGATTTTCAATAGGGTTTATCCTTGGGTGATAATAAACAACTTCACAAAGTTTGGTCAAAATCCAGCAAGAATTGTGGCATGTAGGGTGTTTAGAAGATAAAAATTGATCACGTTTTGAAGATTAAGGGCAATAACTCATATTAAATATTTTTTGATCTTTTTTTATTTTCAATAGGGTTTATCCTTGGGTGATAATACACAACTTCACCAAGTTTCTTCAAAATCTAGCGAGAATTGTGGCATGTAAAGTGTTTACAAGCTAAAAATTTAACATGGTTTGAAGAACAAGGGCAATAACTCATATTAAATATTTTTTGATCTTTTTTTATTTTCAATAGGGTTTATCCTTGGGTGATAATACACAACTTCACCAAGTTTCTTCAAAATCTAGCGAGAATTGTGGCATGTAAAGTGTTTACAAGCTAAAAATTTAACATGGTTTGAAGAACAAGGGCAATAACTCATATTAAATATTTTTCGATCTTTTTGATTTTCAATAGGGTTTATACTTGGGTGATAATAAACAACTTCACCAAGTTTCGTCAAAATCCAGCAAGAATTGTGGCATGTAGAGTGTTTACAAGCTAAAAATTGAACACGTTTTGAAGAACAAGGGCAATAACTCATATTAAATATTCTTCGATTTTTTTGATTTTCAATAGGGTTTATCCTTTGGTGATAATAAACAACTTCACAAAGTTTGGTCAAAATCCAGCAAGAATTGTGGCATGTAGAGTATTTACAAGCTAAAAATTGAACGCGTTTTGAAGAACAAGGGCAATAACTTGTATTAAATATTTTCCAATTTATCTGATTTTCAATAGGGTTCATCCTTGGGTGATAATAAACAATTTCAGTGAGTTTCGTCAAAATCCGTCAAGAAGTGTTTACAAGCAAATTGTGGACGGACGTACGGACATGGGTGACGACAATATACGCTGCACATTTAATGTGGGCGTATAAAAATGTGAAGTAAAATGGTGAGGATAGCAGGTGATGAGGTGAATTAATACAAAACTATAATAACAGATTCATTTTTCATTTTGCTACACAGGTTTAGTAGGTCATTTCAAAGCATTAAACTCAAATGCAATCATCAAGGAATGAATCATGAAAATCTATTACTTTAATTATAGTACATTTGTGTTATTATCAATCAAATATATGATCTTACCAGGATTAGAATAGAAAGGCCATTTGACATTATTACCATTGTCCTCCTCCCTGTCATCTGTTATATACTGACTTTCAGTTGTAAGTGTAGTATCTTCACCTTCCCCGTATGGTAGTATTGGTATTTCTTGTGGAAACATCCTATAATCTGATCCATAAGGAGCTTGTATTGTATTAGAATACTGGGGCTGTATTGGTTTCAAAGAATGGTAAGGAGAAGATCTCTTTTCTAACAATGCTTTCACTTCTTCATTAGATGAATGCTTTTTTACTTTCTGTGGACACTCATTATCTTTGTCATCGTCTCGATTTCTCTTTCGACATGATTCAACCTTCAGTAAGATAGAATTCTTGTTTGGTTTAGTCAATGTTATGTTCTTATCTTCTTTAACACGTTTCAGGTACAGTTTTTTCTGTAATTTGGTGTGTTCCCGTAAAGCTGCCTGTGTTAAATTAACATGTTTGAATACTGGTTGTGGATTAGGAGGTGGTATTAGATCATCTGATACTTGAGAATCTTCATTAGCACGAGGAGAACCAACTGCAACTTCTAAATCAGATGTATTAACCTAGAAAACATTGTTAAAATAACATGATATAAAGTTGGAAATGATTTTAGTATAAATTAATCCACCACAGATATCATGTCTGTCTTATAATTTGACCTCATCAGTAGAAAGTTGCACTGTTGTAATTTCAATAGTGGTCACAGAGAAAAACCTTGTGATATTCTCAAGACATAAAGACCTATCTATAAGAATAAATGTTTGAAAGTTTCATCACTGGTCCAATATAATACCTTAACACTACTGCTATCACTATGTACAGGTTGAACTGAAGGAATGTTTATTAGAAATTCATCAACACCTAAAATATAAACAATGCATTCATTTCTGTTCGAGATCAAAATCTTATCTTGCTGCTACAAACTCTATTTCAATAAATTCAATGGTGAAATCTTAACTATCCGGGTTTGGGATTACATATTCAGTTTTAAAGTTTAATGTGTGTTAATAAGGAGTATTTATTTCAGTCAAAGACAGCATTTTATAAATTTTAGAATCTGATTTTAAATATATATGTAACTCTTATCATTTACAGCTGAAAAAAGGTAATTAAAGTTAATTCTCAACACAACTTGCAGTTATAATTAAACCATAAGTCCTAAAATACTTGAACATAGTCTATAACCTAAATGCTACCCTATTTATACCTTTTCCATCATGATCTTTTTCTGATAGTTCAGCATCTTCACATTGTTTAGATGATAAAGTTAATGGACAACTCTGAAAAAACCTGCAAAAAAAAACAATACATTACAGAAAGGTAAATCTTGAATGAGTAGTTATGCAACTCACTGAGTTAAAATATTACAGAGGCTGGTCCAATGAAAAGCCTTATAAAGCTATCTGTCTCAGATGTCTTTATATGATTTTTCATCATCTGTAAATTCTTATGGGCCTTATCATCTAAGATCTTCTTTTTGGAGAGATATCACACCACATGTCATGTCTTTATATGAGAGATATCACATTGACTGAGAGATACCACATCAACTGTTATGACTTTATGAGAGATACCACATCAACTGTTATGACTTTATGAGAGATATCACATCAACTGTTACGACATTATGAGAGATACCACATCAACTGTTATGACTTTATGAGAGATATCACATCAACTGTTATGACTTTGAGAGATACCACATCAACTGTTATAACTTTATGAGAGATACCACATCAACTGTTATGACTTTATGAGAGATACCACATCAACTGTTGTGACTTTATGAGAGATATCACATCAACTGTTATGACTTTATGAGAGATACCACATCAACTGTTATGACTTTATGAGAGATACCACATCAACTGTTATGACTTTATGAGAGATATCACATCAACTGTTATGACTTTATGAGAGATATCACATCAATTGCTGTCTTAATATTTGATATCACATCAACTGTCATGTCTTTATATTTGATATCACATCAACTGTCATGTCTTAATATTCGATCTCACATCAACTGTCATGTCTTTATATTTGATCTCACATCAACTGTCTTGTTTTTATATGAGATATAATCAGTGATATCTCCTATCTTACCATCCTTGACACCTTGAAAGGAGGTATATTACCATCAATGACATAATATATGAGGAAAATCTCATCAACTGTATCCAAATAGTTAGTGACCAGTGAAATAATGATGGCAAAAGAATGATGACAAAGAAAGATAAAAGAATAATATCATACCTTTGGATATTATAAGTATAATTAATATGGCCATAAGACACATAATTATCACTACTATCTGTTGGTATACTTTCAGTTTGTTCTTCAGTACTAGACTCAATCTTCAAACAGAATGTATTTAGTTTATACAAAGCAAACGAAAGGAGAAAAGAAAGGTTTATATTTTAGGATAACATTTAAACTTAGTATGTCTTAGTTTTGTCTCTTATGTAGCCTTATACAAACCTCAAGAGAATAGCCATATATCTACTGGAATACATAGAAAAAATTACTTATTCAACCTTCATAAGAAGAATCCATGATGAGCACAATTTGTTCTATAGAATTATGCAAAAAAAATTCATGAATGAATTAAAGCTTTTTAAGCATCTTAAATGAATTTGCAAAAGCTTCTCTTAATTTGTGTATCCCATGTAAAATCCATCTGCTGTAAAAGAAAAGAAATTCTAGTTTAACTTAACCTTACAATAAATAAATAGTTACCTTTTTGGATCCTGATGCACCTCCTTGTTCAGTAGATGAAGTACCAATATCTAAACAGTGAAAGTCTTCAGATGCTGCAAATAAAGATAATGATCCATAATTCAAAATACTTAAAATATTTCTCTTTATTTCCAATAACATCACATAATATACATCTAAAATTGTCACCAATATTTTAAAACCTCTAAACTGATACCATGTCAAAAGATACATATAATTTTACTTTCAATGCAACTTTTTGTGTTAAAATTTTTTTTGTACCATAACTAGAGGAATAAAACAATAACTGAGTTTTAATTTCAAAAGAAATACCACAATTAGGAATTATTCCTCAAATGTATATACAGTGGTGTAACCTATTTAAGTGACTTCATTTGTTGGACTACATTCTAGCAGACGAAACTTGGAATTCCGATTACAGCTGGGGATTATAAGGAAATTCGGCTGATATAAATGGTGATGTTTGGTTATACCTGAAATCCGACATTTTGTCAAAGGAAACATCAATACATTTTACCTTGCTTGAAACTACTGGATTCATTCTACTACTGATATTGTACAGATAATCTATGATTATCAAAACATGTAAATTATTAATCATTTCCGGAGATGCACAAAAAATAGGTTAGCACAAAATTAGGTCACTCGACTGTATACATTTAGTGAATATGCAAAATCTTAAAATTGTCCTCCATTGGCATTACAATATGTGTTTGATAAGCTAAGTACATACAATGGTGTAACATATATTCGTGCATATTTTTTTGTTGGGGTTTCGATCCTAGATGGATTTGGATTCTTCTTATAAACAAACTAGGAATCTAAGTTTCAGCCATTTAGGTGAACAGAATAAAAAGTACTGCTCCAACCCTTATACAATATCATGAATGCTATAAGTATAACATGATCCCTATATCAAATACAATATAATGAACATAACAAAATAATGTTTTAACAATACTACAAGAGTTAAATTTAAGGAATATGATATGCAAATTACTAGGTTTACCATCACAACAATTACCAATTAGGCTAAATTTTTAACTATCCATTAGGAATTCATCCAGAAACTCTACAATATTTCTTAATACTACCCGTTACTTGTAACTTATTATTGGATAGCAAATCTGGAACTACATTACATAAATGAACAACATTCTCAACATTAATCCATGTAGAATTAGAACCCTTTTGGTTACAAACTTGTGTATTCTGTATCAGAATAACAATTCACGATTGCACTTGCTTCTAAAGATTTTCCCAAACTGGCTCTTAAAGCATCAAGATGACTAATCCCTTTATTAGACTCACCTGACCTTAAAAAACAGGGTCTTAGACGATTTATTGAAAATATCTCAGTAAAAACTTCACCATCGAGAGTGGACAAAATATAATGAGTGCGATCTAATATTTGATGAACGAATAATGGTGCACACCAATCAGCTTTGATCTTCTTTGAATTAGCTGTAAGCACTGATGACGATGGTTTAAATACAAATACTAGTTGAGCTAATGAATATATAGGATTTTATTTAAGCTATGAGATATACTTGAATTCTGACAAGTTTGTTACCTTTTCTGTAATGCTAATACAGAAAGCTAAGAAATAGCTTCAAATGTCTTCTTGCTTTAAATGAATCATATAGTCTTCATATGAGAGGCTACCTTAAGTTTTTAGGCTCTTACCAACTCATAAGGACTAAAATTACCAAGTTTAGGTGAAACAAATGAATTATAGGCATAACAACAAGTAGATATATATCTGACCCAATCAGTACCATACTGAATTAAATTGAATTTAAGAAGATTGGTTATTGATTTTATATAGCGTTTGACTAATAATCTACCATGATTAGCTACTGAAATTAATTAATGATCAATACCCAGAGTTTTACATAAAGTACTCACTAATGTACCAGTAAGTGATGAAGCTTGATCTGTTATAAGAACAGAAGGTGGTCTAAAAATACAAATTATTTTCTGAATGAGAGCTTCACATATGAATGCAGCGTCTAGTGTCTTTAAAGAAGCAAAGATAATAAATCTGGCAATTTCATCACATACAACCATTATATGTTTAAAACCAGACAACTGAACTTGGTATAGATTTGAAAACTAAACTTAATCTGTCGAATGTACGATATTCAGTTGGTATGCGTGGATGATATATTCTAGTTTTATCTGTTTTACTCTTGAATTGTTGACATTTGAAACAAGAAGTTATATAAGATGAAATAGTTTCGAACATGTTAGGAAAATAAAAGAGCTGTCTCAAAGTGAGATTAGTGCGAACAATGCCCTGATGAAGGCAAAGCTGACTATCAAGATATACATTAATTAAACTATTAGAGATAGTAAAGAGATTCTGGTATAGCCAACTGCAGAATAAACTGGTCATTCATGTGAATAATGAGGCAAAATAAGATAGAATCATATTCTTCTGACTTATTTTTGACAGATTTTGCAGATCTTCTATTAGAAAGCAGAATATCATGTTTCAGAAAGTTGTATATCGATTTAAAATATGGAGAAGGTTCTTGTTCTAAGAGTAATTTATTGGCATCTATTGATAAGTTGTAATCCCTGATAATCTTACGTTTAATAACTTCCATAGGTTTATCGAAGTCTTGTTGTTTTGGGAAATTTTTCGGTACAATATTCTCACAATTATGAATGACAGGCTTTAGTGTAATACAAAGCTCAATAGGGATTTCTATGTCCTCAGTATGATCAGTAGTTTTATCAACTAATCTAGGTTCGTTTGTAACTTTCTTGGTTGGTTGAAATTTATCTACTGAAGAATTTCTTTTTGGTTTTGATGGTTTATTAGGAACTTTAATTGTGTGTGAATCTTTAACTGGTTTAGGAACTGGATCGTTATTAGCAGAATGAACTTTAGAGGGACTGAAATCGTTTGGCATAATTCCTTGTTACTGGACGATTTGTCAAAGCAAATGCAGTAGGAACAACAGCATCAATCTCTGAATCATCCTCTAAATCTAAAGGACTTCTTGAAAGAAAGTCGGCTAAAACTAACAGTTGAACAATGGCTGAATGGTCAACAAATGCATCAAACTCAACACCCTTTAAAAGATACTGGAAATTTGTGACATTAATTAATAATCCAAACAATTTTAACTCTGTGACACTATTACGTTCACAAGCTTTAGGTAAACTTTTCGAGTAATAACCTAACAATCTCTCTGTACCATCAATAATCTGAGTAAGATAAGATCCTGTGGCTGTTCTAGACGTTGCTGATTCTTGAGCATCAGTCCATTCAAATTTAGCTTTCTTATTAGATATTTTATGTAGAGGTTGAAGTACCAATTGAAGTTATGGCAGGAAATTTGAAATATAATTAACAGAACCTATGAATCTACAAACTTCTCTTTTAGACTTTGGCCGAACTAAGTTATGAATTGATCGACAATAGTGACTAAACCATCTTTGTTAACCTCAAGTTAATGACCCATATAAACTACATTATCCTTTAAACCATTACTGATAAGAGTTTGAAATATCAAACTTAAATGTTGTGTATGTGACTGACTATCTTTACTGTACACAATAATATCCTTGTGATGTGAGATACTGAATTAATAACTGTCAGGAATTTCAGACAGAACCGTGTCAATCTTAGTTTGAAAGACAGCTGGCGAAACAGATAATCCTTGAGTTAGTCCTTAAAGTAATAATGCTTTCCACCATAGTAAGAACTGATTCCTGTGTATTTCTGAGACTTTTCTGACAGTGGAATTGTGAAAAATGCAGATTTCAAATCAAGACAACTCATAACCCTAGGTTTACTATTAAGACTATCAGAAAGCAATGGAAAAGGATGATTGAAACGTTGAATTCTGGAATTTAGATGATGAAAATCCACAACTACTCTTTTCTCATTTGTACCTTTCTTAGGAATATTAAGAATTGGAGAAGTATAGGGTTGATGACCTTCAGATAAAATACATAATTCAACTAATTTGTTTAATTCTTCATTGATTATTTTCTTCTCTGATTCAGTAGTGGGATAGGGTCTGATATAAAATGGATCTTTATTAGTAACTTCTATGTCTACTTCAATATTAGGACATTGACCTATTTCACCGGTTAAACTAAAAGCTTCCTGTAAAATTCCTCTTTTGCAGAATAATCTATAAAACTTGATGACAAATCTATATTGTTGTCAATAATTTCTCGTGATTGCTTTTGACTGGATATAGAAATATTATTTGAATTTGACACTTGCAAATTTTCACAAAAGAACACATTCTGAAGTGACATAAATGAAACAGGAGTAGAACGTTTAATATGCATAACATGATCAGTCTTATTAACCATTGGAATTACTGTGTGATTTCTCTTTAATTTGACAAGGACTGACTTAGGACATGCTTCAGATAAGCGATTACTTGATACCATATGAACATCTCGATTCTTAACAATACCTGGAACATTACCATATATATTAACATACTTACTTTGATTGGGCCTCAAGTGTAAATCAGAAGTCATATAGAATGGAATAGTTTTACAACGAAATATATTATCACGAAAACTTAGATTACCATTAAATTGAGCTAAAGTGTCCTGTCCCATGACCAAATCAATTCCAATCATATTGTTTGTAATATATGCATAGAGTCCAAATGTAAACCCTTGAATATGAACCTCTAAATGAAGATAATAATCACTTTCTAAACACATACCATTACCCTTTTGAAATTTTAATGGTTCCTTCAATTTATAAACTGGCAATTTCCTTCAATAAGAAGATGAAGGATTTAGAAATAAATGACCTTGATGCACCACTATCAATAAGAACTAGTGTAGATTTTCCATCCTGTAACAACCTTTACAAAAATTTCTAATGTCAATTTAAATCTGTACTTCATCATCTGGTTTGGTCTTGTCTAGTTTAGGGAGTTCATGAGGAGCAGATTCACAAACCACCTTTTTTAAAATTTGGATTTGATGCAGAAGAATTGGCATGTCTTTGTAACTCTCTATCTGGAGCAAAGCAGTTTTTCCAAATATGTCCTGGTCTTAGACAATATTCACAAAAAATTCTTGAACGATAACTGCTCTTATAGTAACTGTCTCTATGATGAGAATTCTCACTGTCATTGAGATGGCGATAAGAATATTTTGAATGATGATTCCGAAAAGGAGAACGATATTAAGAAGATCTATCAGTTTTGACCTGCCTTTCTCTATTTCGACTTGGTCTCAATGCAGAAATATGTAATGAGTCCATCTCCTCTGTAACAAGGATAACTTCCTTAGAGACAGAAGAAATCTTATCCATCGACTTTTTCATATCAAAATATCTCTGAATTTTACCTACCAGATCATCAGCTGTAGAATTATTATCTGTTGTCATGACAACAGACTGTTGACATTCACTGGGCAAGATATCTATCAATTTATGCTTAATCTGGTTCTCACCATAATTTAACCTCTTACAAATTCTCTCAACATTTCATAATTCTCTGAACGTTACCGAACGCCCTGTTTTGTTTTCGTTAATCGAAAGACAGAGCTCACAGACGAAACTGTACATGGTATGGATATTTTTTAACTATGTCGTACCTATACTCCGCGGTCATTAGATTTTAAATGTAAAATGGCACAACTTTGAAAAACCGGACATGCTTAGAGGTTGGCCACCATGACTAACTACGGAAAGCACTGGTATGCTTATTTACGGCTCAATTTTCATAGGATTTTCTGCATTGTATTGCATAAACGTAACGTCATACTATGACAACAATTCCTTGTGAGTCGAATTTTGAATTTTGATTTTGCTTTCTTTTCATTCTTTAATGAAAATTTTTAGATTTGTTCAATATTTGAAGCTTTTTATCTCGTGACCTTGAAGTCTTATGACCTTGAGTTTCATATGGGTTAATGTCCTCGACAATACCTATCCGATGGTATTTTCATTTTTTGTTTCCAACTATAAAGAGCTCTAGCAACCATTCTATTAATGTTATAACCAAAATTTTTACAGAAACGTAATCTACGCATCGAGAGCTTTCCAGTGATATATAACATGTATACCTTACATGCAAATTCAAAACCCCATTCACTTAACATGGGGCTATTATTGTACAAGCCTTGTAAACAACCTGTCGACACTTGTTAGAACTAATAAAAATCAAAAAATCCATGTTCATTTTACAGAAACCTTCCCTTATATATTTGTTTAATATGTATTATGTCCAGTTATGGTATATAAATAATTTTATGTTATTTTAAAATGTATTTGTTATTGGATTGACTACAGTTTGACAAGGTGATGATCAATTACAATAACACTGAAATGGCTCTTCGCTTGGCTACAGCAGCTACATCCTCATCTCGATCAACTTCCATTCCCTTAAAAAGAGTTTCCTCAATCCCTCCATCAACAAGGTATTCGTCAACAGCATCAGAGTTCAATAAACAAATATTGTGCATCACGAAACAGCTTGTTATAAAGTCAACAAGTCTTTCAGGGTTGTGCATGTCAATGTACTTAAGATGACGGAAACAGCCTTTCAGAGAGTCAATAGCGTTTTCAATTTTCATCCGTGTCGAACTGTGATAAAAATTATAATCCTTATCAAGCTGAGTTAATGCACCATTATCTTTAAATGCAGTCATAAGAAATTAATTTCACCCGTAGGCAGAATCACAGAAAATATGACATTTATCAGGAAATAAAGCATTTCGTTTATCCAAATTTTCACAGGCGATCCCTAGTATTGAGTTTTTTAATACCCTAGAGTCATGAGTTAACCCAGGCCAGCCAATACACACAAAAGTAAACCTCATTTGATGATCGCACATTGCAGCAACATTGATTGAATGGAATTTCTTTCGGTTAATATAAACTTCTCCATCTTTTTTTGATGTTTTGATAAGGATATGAGTTCCGTCCACCGCTCTTATTACTATTGGGAAATGTCGCGTTTTTTCAAACCCTTGGAAGACATCAATTACTTTGTTACCAGATGGCCATTTTAAGAACTTTTTGAGCAGGTACCTCTTGATAAGTTGACTTAGTTTAGCAGAAATGCTTAGTTTAGCAGTTGTTATTTCTCACAAATACTAATTAATAAATATCTTCTTCATGTAAATGCAAACTTTCTAACAAGAATTAAATATTGACAGACACGCATGATTATTCTGGCTTATATCTGTGTACACGAACCTATTACACCTCTCCCTTGTTCAACCTATTTCAAATCAGTTTATACTGTGCTCAAATTTGTCATTTAAATACATGGACCAGATATATATTGTGTCAATTTTTCCTAGATTAAAAAAGTTTTTTCCAATCATATTGTCTCATCTACCGATTAATAGTATGTATAAATCAGTAAAGTAAAAAATAAAGAAGACCGGTTCTGCTTACCAATTATATCAAACACAGATGTTTCACATATACCAAATAGGTCTGCAATTCGAATCAGTGGATCTTGGGTGCCACAGTAGAATATGAAAATCAATATTTATTTTCGATAAGAAATTCAAGAATTTCTTGTCCGAGCAGCAGCAAGAATAGGGGTGATGTAGTTTTTGAGAACAATAAACGAATCTTTGCTTATCCTGAAATTTGATTTGAAGTTATCATGCGAGTATCCGCTTATCAACGAAATATAATTTTGTATTCTAGATTTACGATCATCTTTTAAATACTTGAATTCCTCGCTAAACCTGAAGTCATCTATAATGTCTGAGTTGAACTGTCCTAATTTTCTTTTCATAACAGAATTAGGCCTAACTGGATTACTAAAACACTCTTTTATGGCAGAAAAAACAATAATTACATTCTTTTTGCTGGCATCCAAGTCAGCTTGAACGGCCATTGCTACACCAAAGCTAGCATTTATTTACGGAGAGTTGATTTGTACCAAGTGATGAAACTTGGCTGCCCAAAGCGAGTTGATACGATTTGCTTGAATAAAAAGGTCTCATGCCTTCAACTCACAAAAGTACATGTCCTGTCACATGACAAACAATCTACCTTCAGAGCGGACAACTCTGTTTTATCAAGAAGGAAAATATGGGAGATAACTCTTACCTAACAATTAGTTTTAAGACCACAATATGACCTAATGATGTCAAAATGACAATATAAGGGAAGGATTCAACACTGAATTTAGTCAAAATTAAAAGATAGCTTGCAAGGCAAGTTAACATACGCCCACTGGCAGCAGTCAGGGATGAAAACTAAATCTTTATTGACCAAAAATATATTGAAGATCTTCATAACAATATCAAATTTCTCATATTTAAGATCTTCATTATGCATTTGTAGTTCAAAAACCCTGAAAATCTCATCAATTTAGGGTCAGTTATGCTGAATTTTTCCACAAATCTTTTAAATCAATAGCAATAACCCAGGAGCATTGAATTATCACGCTCCTTTTGTGTCTGAAATTTTCAAAGATATATAATATATAACTAACGTAGACAAATTTGAACTTTCATTAATATATACCGGCATATCAAGTTTGATCATGATCGGATAAAAACTATATAGTGTTTACATGTCAAATTTGATGTATTTTTGTCGAGGGCAATAACTCAAAAAGAATTTCATCAAAAAATTGTCAACTTCAAACTTGACCACCATCTCATCAATCCCAATGCTCACACCAAGTTTCATCAAAATTCATTGAAAATTGTAGCTTCTATTGTGTACTTAGTCAAGGGCAATAACTCAAAAGTCGTTCAGTGGAAAATCGTCAAATTCGAACTTTACCGCCATCTTATCAATATCCAATGCTCACACCAAGTTTCATCAAAATCCATTGTAAATTGTAGCTTCTATTGTGCCCACAACAAAATTTTGACACATAAAATTTTCATCAAATAGTCGTCAACTTCAAACTTGACTGCTGCCTTGTCAATCACAATGCTCACACCAAGTTTCATCAAAATCCATTGATTTGTAGCGTCTATTATTTCAAAATTTCAAAGGCAATAACTCAAAACTGTTCATGGAAAAATTGTCAAATTCGAACTTGTCAGCCATTTTATGAATATGTTGGACGTTAGGACTACTTAGTTTTTTCTATAGCAGATTATTTTATTTGGACCAACTGCATCTTCCTTAGTTTAGGCTATTGAATGATCATCATTTTAAGAAGCCATATTGGATTCCTACCATGAGAAAAATGTTGAAATGTTACTGAGCAACTACCAAGGAAAGTGACATCATCGAACTTCAACTGTCATTTCATGTGTGTCTGTCTCTGAGGAAGGCAGCCTTTGTGCTCTTGAAACATGTTGGACTTTAGGACTACTTAGTTTTTTCTATAGTAGATTATTTTTTTGAATGTTTACCCATGTGTTGTGCTATAGAGTATCCACATTATTTCGATCAACTAAAAATGGACCAGTAAAAAACTTTGTGAAATGGTTTGTGTAGTTTTTATTGAACGCATATTCATGTGGGTGTATAAAAACAGAATTTTTTTTTTAGATGTCTTAGATGTTTCCTCAGACATTCTATATAATAATTAAAATTGGTTTGTTTCGATTTTCTTTTCGTGTAAAATGTTTGAACTATAAATAAGTCGAGAAAAAACCCTTTATGGATACCTGTGGTATAATTAACTTTTCTTATTAATTAGCTTCAATAATATTTCATTATAACTTATGACAATTCCTTCAAAGAACAATGGTTTGAAAAAAAATAGTGACTGACAAAAAATAAGGTAAGTAAAACGTAAGAGTTATTGCTAAAATTCAGTTTGTCATGTGACTTTGTTCACTGGAATATGTTCTAGCAGATGACACTTGGAATTCCAATAATAGCTTGGGATTATAAGGAAATTTGGCCGAAAAAAATTGTGATGTTTGGTAATTTTGTTTATGTCAGAAATAAATGATAAATTTAAAGTGGTTTTAAAATGACAAAAAAAATTCTGCAGGTTGACGTTATAGAGATAACCCATGTTTATTAAAACATGCAAAAATAGAATATAGAGGTCACTCGAGGTCGCACATGTGAATTGCTAATCATTTCTGGAGATGCACGAAAAATAGGTTAGCACGAAATTAGGTTACTTGACTGTATGATTTAAAGAGCGTACATACATAACCAACTAAAATATAATGAAAATGAATACCTGTATTACCTTTACTAACAGTTAATGATGATGAAGATGTGACGTCTACAGTTTGTTTTAAAATCTTTAATATTTTCTTCTGAAATGATGATACTTGTGACTGTTTTACTTCTTCGGGATTGTTTGGCCTTTTATTAAATGACGTTTTTTCACGAAAAATATCTGTATTACTTGGCTCACTATAAAACAAGACATACATTGTCTTCCATAATTCTTTACACAAGAATTGTAAGTTTTACTTGCTTTCTGTAAGATTTATCTTACTGACACACTTTTTGTCTGTTATAAGAAAATATTCATATTCAAGGGATAGTCTCAACTATTAAATACTTATATCAAACAATAAAATAACAAGTGTTCCCGAATCAACCTACATCTGATGGCAAAGTAGATCAAATATCTGGTCTTGATTGAAATTCTATTATTGAATTACACCTACCTGATAATGGCATGTTTACTGAAGATGAGATCAACTTGATTGGACCAAGGATTTAAATAACATGACCATTCTGTTTCTACCACAACCCAATCTTCACTTCTAGTTTTTAATCTCAATTTAGCAGATTTACATGGTTGACCTTTAGCTGATACCACTGAAATGTTAATTCAAAAACATCTATAGCAGAAAGACTTGGCGTAACTTGATGCCTAAACTTTGTGTGGAATTATTAATATGAATCAATGTGAAATCTAATGTTGAATCAAAATGATTTATGTGCATATAATTTGTATGGATTCAGATCTTATTTGAATGAATACATTGATACTGAAATAAACTCAATTCAATGTATCATTCCTTTGTATAACTTTTGCCATATTTCAAGGAGCAGTCCCATATGACTTCTTGATAAGCATATATTTGTATTTGAGATATGCCGCAACGGTCTAAAGAAATTTGAGATATATCAAAATCATATGCAAGATTTCTTTTATTGGCTTCAATATGCCACATTAAAGAAAGATAAATATGAAAAAATAGTAATCTGGAATGTCACCTGGAATGTTCATGATAAGTAATGAAAATGGTATTTTAAGTTATCCTTTAATAAAGCTCCACCTTGTAGATAAATGTGTCTTTTATAGACATAATCATGGGTTATGTACATGGCTTCAAAGAATCACATGAAAGATAATTAAAACTGTCTGTGATCATATAACCTAATAATTGCATTTTAAATGTTAAAAGAACAGTAAATTCAACCAATAAAATTTAATAAAACTCATAGTAGACTGCTTTTGTAAATGGTAAATCTTGTTTTACGTTAACTTTAAAGGGATAGGTTTGTCATTCGTTTAACAATATCGCATCTTATCCTCGTCATCAGTAACACAAAAATAATGAACACATGTTTTTCGAATTCGTCCATCTATTTCTCCCATTTTGGTTCAGTTGAAATTGGGTCAGCATCAGCTACAAATGGTGTCATTCAAATGTCTCTACTTGAATTATTCATCTTGTTATTTTGATATTTTGATATGTCCTAGTTGTGCAATTCAACTAATATTGACTACATGTTGACAAATAAAACGTAATGATATTGTTTTTCCAGCTGTTTTAACTTTACATATAAAATGAAATTTGTTTTTTTTATCTTACTTAAATATCAACAAAACTTAGGCTACAATGTTCAGTAAACCGGCACCAGCCTCGTCGCAATATGTAATGGGCTCTCTAGATCATAGAGACTTGATACTATAGTACAAGATGAAATACCATATTTATTATAAATAGTACATCATACATCAAAATAAAGTAAGACTGGATAAACTAATAACAGTAATGTAGAAGGGAAATAAATCTATATCGAGTTCTATCTGGACTCACTCCACTAATTCATTTCTCCTCCCATGTTATAACACGAAATTCAACCTTCTACAACTTTTTCCAGAAACTCGTTGAAAGCTTCCCAATAATTCTATCTATTCAGACCACAATACTACAGACACAATACTTGGTGGATTTTGACGAAACTATCGAAAATCGGAAAATCAAAAACGATATTTAGTATGAGTTATTGCCCTTGTTTTGTCACAGTCTGTAAACACTCTAGAAGGCCCAATTCTTGACAGATTTTGATGAAACTTGGTAATATTATTATGTATGACTGAAGGTTAAATATTTCATACTGGTAATTGTTACTGTACTGCCAAATATTTTTATTCAAAATCAAAACTGCCAGTGTTCGTATATTACCTTGCCTGGCAAGCTATCATGTTATCATGTTATCATGTTATCAGAAATTCAGTGTCATCTTATATATTAATAACACCTTGGTCAAGTTTAGATTTGACGATTTGATGAACAGAGTCATGAGCACAATAAAAACTACAGTTTTCATCTGGATTTTATGAAATTTGGCGAGATGTTTATGTTGATAAATAAAATGAAATTAATGGAGCTTTACATCCTATTTATTGATATTGATGAGATCTTGGTGTATTTTGCCAGTTTCTCACTTAGCAATTTTGAGTTATTGCCCTTGACAATAGAGAAATGTCAGTTAACAATTTTATGTTTTTGGATATTGATATTGTCAGTAAATATGATCACACCAAGTTTTGACATATTTTTATATTAAGTCACGGGCAATAACTCAAACACTGTTCATCAAAAAATCTTCAAATTCAAACTTGTCCAAGATCTCATCTTGAAAAATAAATAATCATACCTAGTTTCATTTTAATCAGATTATTTTTTTTTATCTAAATGCATCATAGTACAATATTTTTCAATACATTATATCATAGTATACAATACTATTACATTTACATATCTCATTTACACATAAACACACCTGCCCAGTTTAATGAACAATACTATATATAATTTGCATGATCATACATTATACATCTATATTTATTAATTACCTATATAATAATTTATTTCATTCTTTATTCCTTCAAAACTAATTTTCTGGTTTCCATTCTTAAATATGTGAATTTTACTAATACATAAAATCAAGTTGCCAACTTCTTGTTTTCTTCAAAAGTATCCATGAAGAATGTTTGTATCTAAAAGTTCAATTTCTGTCCCAAACTTACAATTTGCCCAATTAATAACATTTTCCCAAAATTTGTGGCTGTATGGACAATCCCATAATAGATGTTTGATTGATTCGATTTTCTCTCTGCACACGCTGCAGAATGGACTGTCAGTGACACCCATTTTGTATAAAATATCATTTGTTTCTAAAATATGGTAATTCTATACTGGAACCAGATAAGTTTGGTATCTATAGTACATTGGAAGATCAAGAAATTATAACTTGCCAACTTGTATATCAAATCCTTTTGTAATTTATTTTCCTAATATTTGATTTCATTTTGAGGTTTTTCATAGATATTTTCAATGAAGTGACTATAGATGGATTTGCAACCCTTTATGTCTCTACATAATTTAGTAACATACAACAAATAGCCTGGCTGTAATCTTACACAGCTGATTTCAGGTTTGTTTTGATAATAAGCTTAATTGATTTACAGACTCCCAAAAAGGTTACATAATTAGGTATTATGTCAAATTTATCACAAAATTCATTATAGCTCAGTATATTCCCATTAAGATCAAGAAGGTCACTTAAAAATCTTACCCCTTAAAGTTCCCATTCCTTTTTAATATATGGTTTTATTGTCTACTTTAATCATACTATTAAACCAGATTGGCATCATAAGTTTTTCATCTGTAGAACTTTATTGCGTGGCAAATCTATCGTTTTGTCATGCTTTGTTTTCGTTATGTTTATTTATTTATTTATTTATTTTTTTGAAACGTCCCTAGACAAAATCGAAAATGGTATATCATAATTGTCTTCACCAAACATTTTTAAATAACCTGGAATCAAAAATGAATATCTAAAACTCAATTTTTGCTAAACCGGAAGTGTGCCATGGCATAATTGGCAAATATTTTGCATTAAGTTACCTGAAATTTTCTTAAATATGCTTCATTGTTATAAGACGTATCTGGTGAGGCTAAAAAAAATTCAATTTTTAAATATTTTTGTCAACAAAATTTGAATCCAAAATTTTCAAAAAAGCTAATTATCCGATTGATCTGAAATTCACAGGACATATACAGAATTCCATACAAGTAAATTTATACAATCAAAATTTTTCTATCACTTCCGGTTTTTGCGTGAGAACTTCCGTTTTTTTTAAACCACGCCTGGCAAAAACCATATATATTGTCTGTCAGTCATAATTAGAATGCACTTAGCAGAAAAAACCCAAACCGGAAGTGATGCATAAGCCGTCGCCTCGGACATGGGTGGTTTAATACAAAATTGAATTTGTGAAAATAGGCATAAAAGTGTTAAATGTTTATAAAAAATGTGATAAAAATCTGTAGATTGTGGGGATTAAATGATTGACAGGTGTTATAACAGGTTATATAATATGATAGGAAAGCTATCCATATGAACTGTTGACATGCAGGTGTGAAGTAGTTGGTAGAAAATTACAAATTCCCATGAAGAAGTCACCGTTTTATTTTCTTTGATGATTTACAGTTATGCCGCTACGGGATTAAAGGTGTTCGTATGAGAGATCGTATGATAGACATGAGTCTCTTAAAATGAGAACAAAAGGGCTGTTTCTTCCATTACACCCAGTGTATTTGGCCACGAACCCAGCAGTGTGGTCTGACACAGCAGTATGGTAATGATGATGAAATAACCCGATTTATCCGAAGGTGTGCCATATTACCAATAGTTCAATACGATATGGTTGGGAGTGTTTTATGGGTGATATGCCAGACCCCAGATTAGTAGAACTTGCAGACTACGTTACAAGTCAATGGTTGGAGGGTGTTTATGGATTACATGAATGGAACCATTATGGTTCGGACACCCCAAGAACTAACAACAACTTAAAAGGCTGGCATAGCCGTGTAAAGAAAATTGTAGGAAAAGCCCACCCCAACATATTCAAAATCATTAATTTCTTGAAAGAAGAGCAAGATGCCATGGAAATAAGGATGGTGCAGTATGCGGCCGGTCAGCAGCAACCTCCCAAAAGACGAAAATACAAGACACTTAAATCAAGACTTAGCAATAATATAGAACAGTATCGAAATAACGTACTTAATGTATAAGAGTTTGCAGATTCTGTATCATACTTAGTAAAACTGAAATAGTAAATGTTGTAAATAAATGAATTACTTGAAGAATATTGTTAATTGGCTATAACCTGATTACATCGGCTTAAGCGTACTATGATAACATCCAGTAATCCTATTGTTCTCAAAATCCATTTTTTTTGACAAAATTCCCACGAAGTCACCGTTTTTGGTTTCTACATGGTTAATTAAGACCCAAGCGGTGACTTCGTGGGCATGAACCAAGTGGGGTCATAAACAGATTAATCTGATTATGTAATCTTTTAACACTTAAAATTTTTTTTTTTTCAATTTTCACTTACAATAATTTAATAACTCATATAGAGTAGTGAATTTTTGATACATTAACCTGTTCGAATTTTTTCACGCAAGATACACACAACAGTTTTGGTTATTGGTGTTAATTAGGCTGAGGGAATAAAAGCAAACAGCGGGCTGTCTCTAGCATACACTGACCGTGGAATCAGAATACAGAGCGGGATTCTAACCCACAGCACTAAATCGCCTAGCAGGCACCAATTCAACTGGCTTCCGACTGCGCTAATCCTTAGCATAAAAAGAAAGTGGCAATTTTATCTTCCGCTAAGGGCAATTTTATCTTCCGCTAAGATTATGATAGGTCATAAATAAATTAATCTAATTACACTATCTTTCAACTCTATGATAATTCACAGTTTTTTTTTTATTTTTTGCAAAATTTCCCCTTATGATAATAAAACATACACTTATTTAGAGCAGTGACTTTTTGATACATTAACCAGTTCGAATTTTGTCTGTTTGTCTGTACCATTAATAGAACTCTATCTCCAAGATACATTATACAGCAATTTTTGGTTATTGGTGTTATGCTGAGGGGATGAAAGCAAACAACATTTATTGTCGTCTGTTAAGCTTATTATAGGTCATAAATAAATTAGTCTGACTACATAATCTTTTAGCTCTATAATAATTCACGTTTTTTCGAGTTGTGCTATATTTTCACTTACAATATTTAAACAAATGCTCATTTAGAGCAGTGAATTTTCACTACATTTACCTGTTCGAATTTTCACGACCTTTGCAAAATGACGATGAAAATACACCTCAAATTCCCGACATTTTATATGATAAAGGTCAAAGTAGCAGAGTTTGCACTGAAACTAATATACTATTTCGAAAAGTGATGCTATTCCCTTACTTAGATCCCTGAATGAAATACAATCTCAGGTTTTTTATGGCGTTCGCCAGTATTGTCTGGACAAAGTTAATGGTTTAAACCGCGATCCATTTAGAATCTTTGTTACTGGTTCAGCTGGTACCGGTAAATCTCACCTTATCAAATGTATTCAATACTAAGCGTCTCGAATTTTTGCGAAAACTGCAGAAAGTTTAAATGACATCACTGTTCTCTTGACCGCACCAACTGGGGTGAGTGCTTTTAATATTGGAGCGTCAACTATTCACAGCAGTTTTTCAATAAGAAAGGGTTTCTCATTTCCACCTTATCAACCATTGGGACAAGAAACTATTAATACATTAAGATGTAAATATTGCAACTTACAAATATTAATTATAGATGAAATTTCAATGGTAGATCATAAGCTTTTTGTTACATTCATGGGCGATTAGGGCAAATAAAGGGTACCGATGAGTTATTTGGAAATATCTGTGTCATATGTTTTGGAGATATGTGGCAACTCAGACCAGTTAAAGGTAATAGTTTATGTCATGAAAGTGTCATAGACCTATGGAACGGTAATTTCAAACTTGTTGAACTTACTGAAATTATGAGACAAAAAGATGATTTAGCCTTTGTCCAAACACTGAATAGAATTAGACAAAGAAAAAAAAGTGAACCAATGCTTGCTTCAGACATCAAAATGTTACAGAGTAGGGTAACTGGTAAAGAAGATGATTGTCTGCACATATTTTCTACTAATCAGCAATTTGATGATTATAATTCTAGAATGATTGATGAAAAATCCCCCGAATTCTGTGTCCATCAGTGCTCTAGATTATTCAAAAGATGTTAGAACCTTTAAAATGACGCTTAAAACCACATGTGTTAAAGTGACTGATACACCATTAGTGTCTTGCTTAAAAATAGGTGTAGGGTCAAAAGTTATGTTAGTAATTAATTTAAATGTTTCTACTGGCTTGATAAATGGAAGTTTTGGTCAAGTAACATTTATTCAAACTGATCAGAATAATCAAACTGACAAAATTTTTGTAAAATTTTATAATGCTAAAGTTGGAATAAATGAAGACAGTGTTCCACTTCCGCCAAATGTACCACGTGGTAGTATTGGTATTGAGAGATATGAAAACCCTCATGTTAACTATAAGGGTGATGTTAGACTCCAGTTCCTATTACGTCTCGCCTATGCAGTTACTATTCACAAAGTACAAGGTCTAAGTCTCAAAAGAGGCGTAATATCACTTCATAAAATATTCCAAGCTGGTCAAGCCTATTGCATTAGGAGCAATGAATACTAATATAATTTTACACAATGTTCAGGGTTTATCTGTTCATATAGAGGATTTACAGAAACACAGGAAAATGCTAGAAGGTGATATCATTTGTTTAACAGAAACATGGCTAAATAATTCAATAACTCCAGCAAAACTAAAGTTAAATGGTTTCCGTCTTCACCACCATCCTCGAAACAGCAGCTATGATGACACTAGAGATTTCAAATTTTTGAAAGAAAAGGGGCACGGAGGAGTAGGAGTATATTATAAGCAAAACAAAAATGTCAACATTTTAAAATTGGGAGCTTTAAATATAAAACACAATGCTTTGAATATTTTTGATAAAAATATTAACGTAATTGTTATCTATAGACCACCCGTTTATCGATTAGATTTATTTCTCCCAATGTTAGAAAGATTATTAGTTGGATTATTTCAACCAAAATATCTTGGAGGGTCATTTGTCTTTACTAAATTGTTTTCAAAAATTTGGTTTTCAACAACTTGTTCAGCATTACACTACTGAAGGTGGGACACTTATAGATCATGTTTATATCAGTAAAGAAATTCCGTCACATAATGTTCACATTTCACACATA